GTTCCGTACTTATAATGATATGATGAATGAAAATTTCATAACATTCTGAAGATGATATAAACAAACCAATCAGGCCAAAATAAAGATGGGATTTTAATTAAATGAAAGTCTAGTTAAATTAAAATGAGAGGAACCTGAAATGAATTCTAGCTACTAAAATGATTTTTTTGGAAGAAACAGAATTCTAACTAAGCCATCAGTTAAATTTATTTCCTTTCTTGCCAAATTAAAACATCACATTCTAGTTAAACATACATTATCTTTAGGCCTGAAATGTTATAAAACTTATTAATTAGACATTAATTAACGTATCTAGACCATAATCAACTCTCGATGTCAACGCTAGCCTGCGATATTTGTTGGATTATAATCCGATTTGCTGCACAACTTTCCTTCTCGATTTAACGATTAATTGGATAATCGATTTGTCGTACCGACTTTAGTAATGATGACTGAGGCTATGCGGAACTTTCGATCGCTTATTTCTCGGTTCATAATGGATCAATTTGACTGAAATTTTCAGCAAATTGCCTTTACATTATCTAGTTTTTAACTATTATAGTGTGAACTGCCAACTCATTATCTAATCTCCCATAATGTATCTTTAAGCTAAAATGAATTTGATTTGCTAAATAAAATCATGGAATGAAATTCTAATGAAATTAAAATAAAATTGATTTCCTTTCTAGCTAAATTAAAGAATATAGATGTTTATATGAGGAAATTAAAACATTTACAAGAGCAAATTTAAACATGTTTTAAAAAATTTATATCAGCAAATTGAAACACGTTTTAAAACATTTATATGAGCAAATTAAAACATGTATAGAGCATTTAAGATGAACCTCATGAAAAAGATTTAACCGAAATCTAAAAGAAATATTATCTAAAATATCAGTCGTTAAAAACCAACTTAAAACAAAATGGTGCATCAAGTAGAGTAACATAAAACGAGTTTGTGACCATCAAAAAGATAAAATAAACTAAAACACACTGAATTTAACACTTATCATTTATTTACTAGAAAACCTGGATTTTTTCTTCATCCCTTATAAAAGCTATAAGATAAGCCATACATGTAGCTATAGGCTGTTTCATATATTTGGCACCAGGTGTAAAAATAGAATCTATTATTCCCTTACCATTCAATCACCTTATGATAATCATAATGGGGTTTAACATCCACTCAACACAATCTAGGTCATTTTGGGACTAACATATGGTTCAATTTTATTTCAATAGGAAACCAAAGGACCCAGAGAAAACCCAAAAGGCTAGACACAACCGGGAAATCAAAACCATGCCAGTTAACTCAATGACACCCTTATGATACAACACACATGCGCTAACCTTCGGTCATCCAACCTCCCCCCCACCCCCCTACAATAATAAAACGCTAACCATTCGGTCATCCAACCCCCGGCCCCCTACAATAATAAAGCGCTAACCATTCAGTCATCCAAACCTCCCTACAATAATAAAGTTTAAATCTTGTTGTACAGGTAAGAATATTATTGTAGGGTGGTCCATGATGAGGTACTTGTTCAATGGTTGTGAAATGAAATGGGGTTTAATGTCCTAATACAACACAGTTTACTGGGGGGTTGGATGGCCGAATGGTTAGCACATGCGTGCTGTATAACAAGGCTTGTCATTGAGTCAATTGGCTTGATTTCGAATCCCAGGTTGTACGTGACAAGGAGTAGGGTTGCCTGTCCAGCCTGAGCCTCGTGGATTTTCTCCGGGTCCTCCGGTTTCCTCCCACTGCTAAAGAACCCCACACACAAGCGAATTATTGAAATAAAATTAAACAATGTTAGTCCCAAAATGACCTAGTTTGTGTCGAGTGGTCGTTAAACCCCATTTCTCTCTCTCCATTATTTGCTATGAGAGAAATTTTGTCCAGGCAGTAGCGCTATGGCCTTATCCTTGGAGTTTTAATTTCACAGCTCTGATTTTTGTAAATGAAGAATTGAAGATACTCGTTCCTGAAGCAACGACTGCGAGTTTTACAACATCTTGACATTGCTAGATTACTTTACAATTCCAAAACTTATCGCTACGTAATCTGCAGACACGTGAACAGTAGCATCCAATTAAAGGTTGTGACGTACATGTAGTGATCTCAACGGAAACATTGAACTTTGCAACTTGATTATCACAGGTAGGCATTTTAGCTGGAAAGCGTAGGACTTGGTATTCGCGATGATCGAGGAATCTGATAGGCTCTCAAGCTGGGTGAATACCCAATCGAAATTAATGACGAAAATATACAGGGTATCACAAGATGTACGTAGTTAAAGTGAGATCAAACTTTCTATTGAAGATGGAAAAGATATAGAGTATGCCATCTTTAATTCCAATTAGGATGACATGGGCAATGGTGGAGAATTTTGACTAGATATTCAATTGTGTTGAGTAGGTGGAGAGAGATGGAGTTTAACGTCCATTAGACACAAACTAGGTTATTTTGGGACTAACAGATGATTCAATTTTATTTCAATAATTTGCTTGTGCGTAGGGGTTTTCAGCAGTGGGAGAAAACTGTAGGACCTAAAGAAAACCCACCAAGTTGGACAAGTGTCCCTAATCCATGCCATGTACAAGCAGGGAATCAAAACCACGCCACTTGACTCAATGATAGCCTATACATGATCAAACCCTCAACACCCCCACCCACCAGGTAGCTGAATGACATATTTAAAGTTGCAATTGCAAATTTTCAAGTTATATTTTTAAAATATATTAAAATAAAGCCTTAAAATAGATGGTATCCATAAACAGTCCTACCTTGTTAAAGAATAATCCTATTAATCCTATAATTCACTATTGCCAGCTGAGAAATTGGCAAAAATATCATTTTTAACTTCCAATTCCAACGTTGGAAAATGGCTGAACCATCTTGTCAATAGCAAAACAAGGGAGGTAATTGTGTTGTTATTTCCTGTGTCATAGATTTTTAAGGGTGGGAAATAATCCCCATGATCGTATAATAGTGAATTGATAACCTATTGAGCAAAAGACATAGAAATAATTATGTTTTGACTTTCTTAGATAATTTGAAATTCTGGCTTTAAGAAGATTTTTCAGTATATTCTACCGGTGTTGGGTGTAATTTGATCAATCGATACCTATTACAGTATCTTATTATGTGTAGAGATTTTGTATATAAGCCTCGATGTTAATACTATAGGTGTAACTGAGTAGTATTATAATAGTATTATCTATAATAATCTACTTATAAAACAGTTATATGATATAACCCACACTCTATATACAAGGTGGGATATATAATATTAATATGTGAGATATAACTAGATGGGTGGTATATGCAAATTAAATAGGACTTAATATTGCAGAGTCAACAGTGAGTGGAGTGAGGCTGATGTCTACCACCTAAATAAACAAATGACGCTCATTAACTACTTGTACATTTATCTTTTTTAAAAGTTTTTATTAAGGAAACTTTTGTCTCCCTAAAAATAGGGTTTGGTCAGCCATGTTGGCTAAGTGGGTAAGACGCTGGCTCGCTAGCCTGGAGGTCGAGTGTGCGATCCCTGCATCAGCCAAGAAAGTTCATCGGGATTTTCCGATGTAGTTTCCCCTTGTCAGTGGTGCAGGATGGAGGGCCCTGACTAGGACGGCTGTCAAGTCATTCAGATGGGATAAAAAACCGAGGTTAGTGTAAACATTGGTGTGCACATAAAAGATCCCTTGGCAGTTGGAATTCGATATAAAAGTAGGCCATAGTGCCGCTGCCTGGGAAAATTTCAATCATAGCACAATGTATGGGGTATGCCCGACTTTATCAGTAGGATGTTTAACACCATTTCATTTCATTTTTTTACAAATGGAGTCTAAGAATAGCAAGTCATTCTTAATTCATACCAAACCAACCCCTCCCCCGCCCTTACATGTACATATACCATGAACTACCAGTTCAATACAACAATTATATAGATATATTGTTCCATACAACTTTAACACCAGATGTACCACGATACACCCAAGTTATACAAGGGACATAACTCCATTTTAGCCTTACATTATGTTTGCTCGTTTGGTATTGGGAGAGAGAGAGAGTGAGAGAGAGAGAGATGGGGTTTAACGTCCACTCGACACAAACTAGGTCATTTTGGGACTACCATATGGTTTAATTTTATTTCAATAATTCGTTTCCATGTAGGGGTCTTTAGCAGTGGGAGGAAACCGAAGGACCCGGAGAAAAACCACGAGGTTGGACAGGTGACCCTATTCCTTGTCACTTACAGTTTGGTATTGGGAAGTAAACGGTGTATTTTGTTGGTAGGGTAGTTTTGTTATTAACACACTATACCTGATAGTGAACCAACTCGTATCCTCTCATTCATTGATAGGGAATAAAACCACCGGCTGATCATTGTTGGCATCAGAATTAACGAACAATGGCAGCATCCAGTATACATGTAGGTGTCTGGTAATTCTGACTAATCTGACTTATTTCTGAATTCCAACTGTCGAGGATCCTTTTACTTGATTAGCACTATTTATACTGGGCCTCAGTTTTTTGCCCCATACCAACGACTAGTAGCTCTTTTTCCCAGGCCCTGACAAACGTACTGACAAAGGTACACCAATCTAGAAAATTTTGAGGAATTTTCTCGATCAATACGGAGATCAATTCACTGCCTTACTAAGTCACTGCAGCTCCAACAATCTATATAAATAAATTCCAAGATATCTGTGATCATGTATGTTTGCCCGCGCTCCACACCACCATATATATGGTATAAAATTTACCAGCATGACCCTGTAAATGTTTTAGACCATCGAATTTGGGCTGGGCAAATCACTCCACATCCACATATGTGGTATCAAATTACCCAGCATCACTTAGTGAGTGTTTTAGGCCGTCGAATTAGATTGGGTCCCTGACTAATTTGGGCCCGGGGTGATTTTGGGCCCCGGGAGAAGCCAGATATTCTGCTAGACTATGAATAACAAAGAATAAGTTGTCTTACCTTTGAGTAAATGTTTCAGTTCTTTGGCACCTTTTGTTGTTGTAAATTTATTAACAATATCTAAGGCCGTTTGGTCATAGGAGTTGGGACGGTTGACATCGATACCACACTGAAAATATAATATCAAACAGATAAACACATTGACATCTAATGGTTTGGATTGTTCGTACTTGGTTTTATTTTATTTATACAAATAAACATATTGACATCTATACCACACTGAAAATATAATAATTTACAAATAAACATATTGATGTTTATACCATACTGAAAATATAATAATTTAGAAATAAACATATTGACATCTATACCACAATGAAAATATAATAATTTAGAAATAAACATATTGACATCTATACCACAATGAAAATATAATATTATAAAGAGTGGGTTTAAATTCAGGTTTTGTTCTAATTCTATGAAGGTAGTTTTATCATTTTTTACTGATATTTTAGAGAGAGAGAGAGAAATAGGGTTTAACGTCCACTCGACACAATCTAGGAATAACATATGGTTTAATTTTATTTCAATAATTAGCTGGCGCGTAGGGGTCTTTAGCCGTGGGAGGAAACCGGAGTACCCGGAGAAAACCCACGAGGCTGGACAGGCGACCCTACTCCTTGTCACGTACAACGGGGGATAAGAAACCACACCAGTTGACTCAATGACAGGCCTTATGATACAGCATGCACATGCTAACCATTAGTGCTAACCATTCGGCCATCCAACCCTCCTGATATTTTAGAGATGATTTAGTTGTTTGTATTTCATTTTTGTTAAGAATTTATGAGTGATGCAGTAATGTTGGTTATATAAATTTAAAGGTATCAAGCCTGTAAATAGGTCACCTGTCACAGACAATGTCAGGCACAGATTCAGGATTTGTCAGGTACATCTACCCTGGTGCCTGTCATTTTGTCTGGTGCAGATATGTTATTTTTCAGTGTTCTAAATGATATTTATAAAATTAAAATTTCTGGTATCTGTTTAATACATTAATGCCTAAAATTTTGTCAGATACAGCTAAAAATATTATTACTACCCAAAAGCATTTGTTGGCCTGTGTTGGGACTTGAACATAGGACATTTTAATCGAGATATGAAATGTTATATAAATTATTAATTAGATATTAATTAATATGACAAGACCATAATCAACTCGCTAGACCACTTGATGCACAAGATTTTAAGTAGAACAGAACAGTCAGCCATTTACTGATTTAATTCAAATATAGAGAAGCGAGGCTAAGCCTTGAATAACCAGTACTGTGGTTACGATAATAGACAATCAACGCACACATCTTGTCAAAACTACAAATAGTGATAACTTCACTCAGAGTAAAGTAATTTGAATGAAATTTTCAAAACATTTATTTTGCATTGTCTATTTTTGAGCTATTAGAACAAGAACGGTCAGTTCTTTATCTAAATCTTACATCTCTCTACAAATGTTAAATAATCAGTCTGCATCCATTTTGGCTTGGATTAAGTTGGAGAAAATTTGATATTATCGAAAAATACAAACGAAACACAGAGATTTTATTAGGCAAAAAATAGGGCATGGAAATGTTTTTTCGTTTAATCATTATTAAATCATGCTGGGAATCGGTCTCCTATTGCTTATTTTCTTTGAGTCAAAGCTACGCAATATATAAATTAATCAACTCAGAAATAGGCTTATCCCAGTGGGCAGTATTTTATCAGCCAGGGGGGAGTAACTCTAGATAAATAGTCAACCGGGTAATTAGTAACAACAAATATGATATGCTTAGAGCAGGGATCAGACAGAAGTGTGTTATCTTTGAAACTTGGCCAAGAAACCAGTCACTGTAATAAATTCAGAGATACTAGATCCTTTTCATGTACAGTACCCGTCAGTATTCATTTAGATAAATAAATAACCTTTAATAACTTAAGTCAGTATTCAGTTAATATTATACGAAATTAAGAAAAAGCCATTTTTTTTTTTTTTTCGTAGGTAATAACATTTATTTCATAGGCATAACAACCCATTTTTTGTTTTAGAATAAAAAATATGACACATTTCATAACTTAACTCATCATTCTCATACATGTAATATTAATGACAAGCCATTTTTTATTTTTATTCATAATATAGCACCCTTATTTTTTAGAATAAAAAATATGACATCTATCATATTCCAATATATCTTTTGAAAATTATAATTATGGAATTCAACATAGGAACATGTTTACTCAAAAAAAAAAAAAACCCAAAACTTTTAATAATTTTAGTCTATTGAAATGAAATGAAATAAAATGAATAGGGTTTAATGTCCTACTTTTCAGTTTTGCAGGTTGTTTTTTTTCTTTTCAAGAGATGTTTTTTTTTTTTTTTTTTTCAAGAGGTGTCTCTTTCAAGAAGGGTCTTTTATTTTTAAAATGTCTTTTTGCATTGTAAATTTGAATAGGCTGCGTCTTTTTGCATATTAAAACTGTTGTTAAAGAGGAGTCTTCCTGTACCGTATATTGAAACTGTTTTTGAAGGGAAGTCTTTCTGTATATAATTCTGTTTTTGAGTAGTTATTTTAGCTAGAGAGTATAGTAGGTTAAGAACTAAGATAGTGTTTAGTATGTTATAGTAGTGATAGTAGTTTGTAAAGTACCATTAATATGCTATAAAGCTGGCTGTATATATACATATATAAGATTAAAGGTAAAGAACATATGGTTGATATAAATCACCTGAACAACTAGTAGATACATAGGTATATATCAACACCTGAATTACCTGAATACTACCTGATACTAACACAGGTATATACCAGGGGTTGAGAGAGAGAGAGAGATGGGGTTTAAGGTCCACTGGACATAAACTAGGTCATTTTCTAGATTAACATATGGTTAAATTTTATTTCAATAATTCGCTTGCATGTAGGGGTCTTCAGCAAAGGGAGGACACCAGAGGACCTGGAGAAAACCCAGAACGTTGTACAGACAATCCTACTCCTTGTCACTACAAGCAGGGAATAGACCTTACGATACCCCTCCCCCCCTATATGGGGTTTAACATCCAACTGTTCTGCACAGATTTGGCTGATAAAGATGGACACAAATCATACTATTTTGTTCGGACCTGCTCTTATATCAGCCAAAGGATTGTGATAGTAGATGGAATATAGGACAGAGGAAATGAAATGAAATTTAACGTCCTTCTGTTCTGCTCCGACTGGGTTAATCATGACCAGAAAATAATGGTTTATTTCGTCTGAGAAATGATTGGCCATTTTGGGGGATATTTGTGAGAATAGTAGGTTGAGAAACATATGGTTAATATTATTATATAGCTAATCCCCTGTAGATTTTTACTGATGGTATACAGAGATAAATACAATCTATCAGGTAAAACACAGGTATTCTCTACTGGACAACACCAGGTAAGATGACCACATGGTTATATAGAGATACAATCTACCTGGTAAAAACACAGGTATTCTCTACTGGACATCACCAGGTAAGATGACCACATGCTATATAGATACAATCTACCTGGTAAAAATACAGGTATTCTCTACTGGACAACACAAGGTAAGATGACCACATGGTTATAGAAATATACAATCTACCTGGTAAAACCTGTCTTCATTAGCCCATATACAGGTCACAATTCTATGGAATACAATTACTGCTTATTACTGAGCGACGTTTCAACTAGGCTTCTCTAGTTATTATCAAGTAGCCTAGTCGAAACATCAGTAAAATAAGCAGTAATTGTGACCTGTTTTTTCATCTTCAATTACTAAATGCTATTGAAACAATTCATTAGCCTAGTAGGAGCAGATGAGTAGGACTTTAAAATCCATTTCTTTTTGTTTCATTTCATAAAAATTTGGAATACGATATAAACAGAAATCTTTCTGGCAGAACATGCTGATGGCGGAACATGCTGATGGCGGAACATGCTGATGATGAAACGAAATGGTGTAACTGGTCTAATGAAGACGTGCATACACTATACAGTGTGCTATGAGGGAAAGTTTGCCTAGACCGTGCAATCTGTGCTTACTCGTCATTGAATTTTAACTGTCAAGGGTTCTTTAACGTGCATGCCTATGTGTCCATAAGACATCACTTTTTATCCCATCCAAATAACTAGATCCTGTTCCATCCTGCATCACTGGTGATTTATTGAAAGTTGGTTAGATTAAAAGTCAGAATAAATAAAACAAATCAAAATTGTAGTCTAATTTTAAATAAACTTTCGTATATCTATTCATTCCTATTAAAATACATTTCTTACCGTTCCCATTTTAATCCTCCGTCCAAACTTTCGACCGAGAGGTGCTGATATCGTGTGATATTTTCTCTTGGGTAAAATCAGGGGTTTCACTGTACGTTTTTCTTCTGCCATTTTTTATGATTAACTAAATCCAATATAATTTAAGTTTCGAAATGTCATTCAGAAATCTTTTTAACTTGAAGAATTCTAACAGAACATCCAAATTTATTGTATTGTTAATCAGCATCTAAACAGTTCACAGATTTGTTACTCATCCGATGTCTTTTCAAAAGTTTATGATTTAAATCACAATTTCAATATTTGTCTGGTTTGAACAAAGCATTGTTTAAATGGTTGTTCATACATGTACGAAGCATCAGATATTGAAATGGTAGTTCATACAATTCATCAGGATTGTGTTAAAAAAATCTTAGGATATAAGACAAATCAAAATCTTTTTTTTTTTCCTCCTTTCAAGTTGAAAACTCACAAAAGATAAAATCACTCTTTATAATTTAATAAACACAACAGTAATATTATGATTTTATACACTATGCTAGAGCTCATTTGTGAAATTCACCAATAAATTTCCAAGTGTTCAAGTAACTGACAAATTATTGTTCATCACTGGTATAACTAAAAGGAACAAAACACTTATTAACAAAAATTAATAATAAAAAGAAAAACCTTTAAATTTATTCACATGAAAAACCATAACACTTCCAATTACTGTTCATTTACATGTATGAACCTTCAACACACGAAGTCAACTCAAAACCACAAAAACTTTAGATTTATGATATAATTCACATCAAGTACTATTTAAAAATAAAAAATCTTTTTAGAAATTTGATATATTCCAAAAATAT